TCACATATTGTGAAAACTTCAGTGACTACCTTATTTGTTTTGCTGGGCTGGGTGCCTCACCCATCTCTTGCTGTGTGTGTGGCCAAGGGTGAGAGTCTTGACGGGTATTGCTCATAACGTAACAAATGTCTGCAAAAAAAGAGAGGTGTTACTCACCTGCATAGCAGATTATGAACAGGTATTACTGCTTGAAGAGGGTGCGCTGAAATAGTGAAGCAAAACGTTCAGATTGCACAGACAGGCGGCAGTCCATACACTTTTATCAGATGCCACCAACACTTCCAGCCCTTAACTTTGGAGATGCTCTTGAAGAAATAATCCCGGACTTTGTTCTGGTTGGACTTCTGTGCCTTGATGGTTTTGTAGGCGTCCCTGATGGATGGAGGCTGTAGCTGAGATCACGGTGTTAGTTTTCCAGGCTGTGGGTCATCTTGGAAAGCTGCTCTAAGTGAAGAAACAAATGTCCTGCAAACCCATGGGGCTGAAGGTTGGGGAGTTGCCTCTTTGAGTGCTTCATACCTAGGTTTGAGCTGTAGCAGTGGCATGTGGTAGGAACAGCATCTTCAGCCATCGTTGAAGCCTACTCCCCATTGCATGCCCTGCATTGCTGGACGAGCGTGAACATGTTGTGCGCTGGCATGTGTGCATCACGTGAGCTGTTTGCCACGGGGAGAAGAGCACTGATGTACATCATAGCAGCATAACAAGCTGTGGTGGCAGCTGCGAGGTGCATAGGAGCCACATAAGCCCCGAGAGGAGATGTGACAGCATTGCCATGCTGCATCAGAGCTGGTATTCACCCATAACATTTCATTTTATCCAGGCTTTATTTCCATAGTAATTTTCCTCTGTGCTGATGCTGCCAAAACTGACTGTATTTCAAGCAGCCATGTTGCATACCGCGCCTGCACAATGGCCAAACGTTTCAGTATTTTTTTATTTTATGCTGAATACAAATGAGTCCTGCCTGGTTTTAACCATTTCTGCTCACTGAGCAGCCTCTTTGCTACCAGCTGCTCCATGGCGTTCATCTATCTTTCCCTGCTGGCACCAGCGGCTGGTAAACTTGTACATTGAAGAAGTGAAAGTTTCTGTAGTCTTTATTCCTGAAGTTGGAAAACAAATGTCTGAACATGCATATTCCACCAAAAAAACAACAGAAGAGACACATTATTGCAAATGCAGGAGCTTGAGTGGCCTTGCTGTCTTGCTTGGAAGCCAGCAGCTTTCTTTTTATTTTATTAGTATAATACAACTCCAGAAGTTTTCTTCTGCCGTGGAGAACCCACTCGGCCCATTTTGTGTAGCAGCACATCAGCCATTAGGACAAATTCTTGAGAAACTCTGGAAAAATGTGACCTGGCAGAGCGGCTGCAATATCAGTAAATGCTGTTGGCTGTGGTTTTTATCGCTAGGTTTAGTGTCTTTTGGAGAACGATGGTACTTTTGAAAAGAGACAAGCCAGAGAGAGGAATAAACAACTCAGGATGCCACATAAAAGGCAGTTTGTGATGGGACCTGAAGCCTGCAGAGACTGTGGGTCTAGAGAGCCCCTTGGATGGGCTCCCTGGTGGGTTCGTCTCTGCCTCCTCCAGCCAGGCACAACCCAATAGCTGATATGGAGAAGTTAGGAAAGAGGTCAAAATTGGTAATGAGAGGTCTTAATTATGAATCTTAGGAAAACAAAGCAAAACAAAAAAACCAAAAAACCAAACAGGTTACAAAATATTACCATGTAGCAGTGCTGACTGGATGCAAAGTAATGCATGCATTGTCTTTTTTGAACTTATTGGCTTCCTTCAACTGAAGCATCTCTCCCAGGCTGGTGTAGCTTTCATCTTCTGGCCTAAAGAAAAAAGTGGGGGGAAATGTTTCCTGAAACTTGCCACTTGGGCAGTACCTGTCATGCTGAGAAGGGTAAGAAGCAATAATTCTCAAGTAACTTTTAGGCAAGTGTAGCTCTAGGCCAAGCCACCTTTGCATTTGCAGAGTTCTTTTTGCAGGGCCAGTACTTGCTGGCAGAGATCTCGGTTGTCGCCTCTTTCTTCTGCTTTTCCCTCACCTCCGATGAAGGATAGTCTGTTCATCCATGCTTGCAGGCCGTGCCAAAGCCTCTCTGTCTGCTCCTTCCCTTGTAGCCGACAGGAGTTTTATGTGTTGCGTCCTACTGATGGCCATCGTGGGAAGTTCACTGTTGGAGCTCAGCAAGTGGCTGTCCATGGAGATGATCAAAGCAGATGTGAAACTTCTTATCTACTTTTGCCAGAGATAAACCATGATAAATTACCACCGTCGCCTGTCCTGGGAACTGCTGCTGTGGATTTATCCAGCATACTTCTGGTTTTGGTGCTTAGTCTTCCTTCCTCACTTTGGAGCTGGTACTGTTTTTTCTCCATTGGGTTCATGTGTCTGATGGCTTGTGCTACAAAAAGAGCTTCATCACACACCCGTGGAAGTCTAAAGGTGTGAGACCGACGCGTTGGCAGCCCAGTGCCCGGATCCTGCCAGCTGGCTGCCTGTGGGAGAGTCAAGGATAGCTTTGCCAACGTGTGCAGAGGGCACGCAGCCGTGACTTAGCAAGTGAGATGTTCAGGCTGTCCCCACCTGGGATGAGTCACTGGGAACACCGGCTCTGGGTTGTTGGCTGCCTGGGTGAGGTTGTGCTCTGTTCACGGCCAGTATTTCTGCATTAACTGCCTGATAGCTGGAGCGGTTGGAGGTTCCTCTTGCCTTCCTGTTGGTGGATGCCCAGGAGAGCCGTAGAGCTAGCCAGGGATGGATTAAGAAGTACTTTATGAATCGATCCCTGAAAAATATCAACACGGCTGGAAATTAGCTCAGCAGTCCTCTCCTGCTAGAAGTATTTGAAAGTTGTGGTTTGCACCAAAATAGTACATGTTTGACTTGACTGAGGTTTTTTTCCAAACCAATTATCTTGAGCCTAGAAGGAATTAAGATGTACGTGCCTGACAGTGGAGGAAAGTAATGGTGTGGTGTTGCAGCATGTATGTATTTTTGTTGGAAGTCTAAGACTGGTATATGGCGATCATTTAGCTTCTGTTCTCATCTCTCGCTGGTATAAACTTGAACTGAGTATCTTAAATTGAAATGCATTTTTATGGTGTTTCCTGATGTCAAGAGAACTGCAAGGTGTAAATTTATTGTTGCACTCATATATAGGATTTTGTGTGCCTGCACTCAGCTGTGATTCATGAAAGCTGGGCAGAGTCTGGGAGGTTTAATTTGATCTTATTTAAAAACACACTCAATTACATACTTACAGCTTACCCCAATAGCTCTGATATTTTGGGAGCTTATATTAAATCCTGCAGTGAAAACTCACTCCTTCCCAAAGTCTGTGGCCAAACTGCAGAGTTGCTGGGTTTGCGACGTGCCAGCGATGCCCTGGGGAGCAGATCCCACTGCAGCAGAGGCACTTGCTCCCGGTGCTGGCAGATCTTTGCCTGGAGGGATATAGTTCTCCTGAAAATGAGCTTCTCTTACTGCCTTGGCCCTTTCTCTGCCTTGCAGCTCAAGCACATTAAAGGGATTAATTATTGGGACGTATCTAGTGGGTACCATGTTGTGCACCTGTGGTGGGAAGGACTGGGTATTTTAATTTAGCTGTGATGACTTGTGCAAGTTTTTTTTATGTGAATGATTAATTTTGCAAGTAGAAAAAGGCATTTGGATGACTCCTGTGCTCCATGCAAGACTCAAAAGCTACATAAGGCGATGCACCCTCAACTTCTCCATGATAAGTCCTGTGGTCTGTAGGTATCTGGTGGTCTGTGCTAGTTCTGATGGTATTAGAGCTACTCCTGCGACTCAGCACCAGCCTGGGCACGGGGCATCAGTGGCTGCTCCCATCATGGCTGGAGAAAGGTTTGCCTCAGCCCCTCGGTGACAGGATGATGCTTCCCACTCCTGTAAAGCATTTTCGTACGTGCAGATAAAAAGGTCTGGTGTGTATTTGCTTGAATTCTGTTATCCTGGTGCTGGTACACCTGTATCCTTTTGTAAGGAAATCTGGTGTGTGCTTGGAAAAGGTAAGGCTGCCTGATCCATCTATTAATGAGCAAGTCCTTCTTAAAAACTATTTTGGTTTGCAAATTTTCAGGAGCTGAACAAACTTTGCTTAGTGATGTCTACCAGGAATTGCTTTTAAACTCTTTATCCTTTTTTTCTTACCACTTGGTCCCAGAAGTACCTCTGCACTTTGTAGCAGTGATTACAATTTGGCAGGATTTGGGGATGAATAGATGATGCGAGTCTGATGTCAGAGATGTGCTTTGTATTATTGTTGTCAAAGATTTAACCACATGTTGGGATATGTGTGAAAATAGTGATATTCATATAATTGCATAGAGAACCAAATTACTTCTGCTGTTTCCTAATTTTAGGGTGCTTGATTTCACACTTCAATATTTTTAACATATTTTGAGTGTAGAGAAACCTTTCCAGGTGGGTATCTATGTTTTAATAGCTCAACAATGGGCTACTCGAGCAAGTTTCATAACTAATTGCCCATGTTTTGTGGAGCAAAATCTCAAATGCTTGAGTGAAGGCATTGGAGGGAAGTGTTAAATATATAGTATTAGAAGCTGATATTTAGCCAATGCCTGCTAATAGTTCTCCAGACAAATGTCACACAGCAGAGGTTTGTTATTGCGGTGTGTAAGGAATGGGCTTCCCAATGCTGGGCTTACGGGCTCGAGCAAGCAGCAGTGCTTCATGCAGGTGTTCATCTCCCGCTGTCTCTGCAAGTCCTTAGAGATGTTCTGGAGATGTTCAGAGTGTCCTTTATGTTTTAGCTGAGATGTATCACAATTGTGTATTATTTGGTAGAGTCCGGAATAAGTCCAGCATCCATAATGTAGGTGGTAACAAGGCGAGGGAGACAGAGGCATGTGAAGATGGAAGATGGTTGCGGGATGTGAACAAATTGTTAACAAGAAAATGGATTATCTTACAAAAGCTTTTATTCTCTGCCGCAACAGGGATGAGAAGAACCAGTCCATCATCGTGAGTGGTGAGTCAGGTGCTGGAAAGACTGTCTCTGCCAAATATGCCATGCGCTTCTTTGCAACCGTTGGTGGTTCTGCCAGCGACACCAACATTGAAGCCAAAGTCCTTGCATCGAGCCCAATTATGGAGGTAAAAGCTGCATGATTTCCTTTGTCCTGCTTGCAGTGATCACTGTGTCTCTCCGGAAGTCATGAAAACAGTGAGAGCCATAGGGGCTTGTGAGCCAGACCTGATTTGCAGCCTCACATCAGCAGTGAGCTGGGCTGAAAATGCAGAAATACACTGACAGCCTCCATTTAGCCCACCCCAATTGCTCCTGTATTTAATGGTCTTGAAGCTGAGCCTGTGCATCCCCAACACAGCTCCAGGAGCTGGGCTTTGACCAGGGCTCTCGAGCAGAGAGCCCGAGCGGTGCTGCTGGCACCTTTAGTGTTTTATCATCTTCATCTTCCTCCTCCTTTTGCCACTACACGGTACCTCCTAATCTTCTTTAATTGTATAGGCATGAAATAGAAAGGGATTACTTAATCTGTTTGAGGTATTTCAATGCAGTTTTATTTTTGTTATTTTTCTGTTGCTATCAATCATATGGGGAATAACAAGTCCCATCATAGGGAAATCCCTGATCTGAAGGAAAAAATTTCCTTTTATAAATATAAAAGAAAGGGAAAAAGCAGCTTAGTTTTGGTGCATTGTGGCCAGATGGTGAAAATAAATGTCTCTGTGCCTAAATCCCATTTTCCAAACACATTTTGGAGTCAGAATGTCTTAATTTGTAAAATATCCAAGTCAGCATGAAGACAAGATTTGGGCTTTTCCAAAGTCAGTTAAGCACTTTGGACGTGTGTGACTTTCTCTTAAAGGCAGGAGCTAGCAGGGCAGCTGTAGTTGAGCCCAGCGTTGTTCTGTGCTTATCCTTAGGCTTGGCTTAACCTGCAGGGATGCTTCCTACTGCAGCGCATCGTAGCCAAATTGTCTAATAGACATGGAGGTGGTGGCTGATCCAGGGTGAAAACCAGCCTGAGAGACAGCACGCGTGGTCTAGCATCATGCTGCCTGATGTGGAGTGCAAGCTGGAATGGTAAAACAAGTGATGGTGCAGACGAGTAGCAAGAAAAAACACGCAGGTGTATGGCTGGCAGAGGACACTCAATGATCTGCCGCAGTGTGGGCTTCATGCTGTTTTACTTCTTTCCTTACCCATCTCCTGTGCCTCTGTGAAATGTAGCTGCAATACCTGGGAACACTTAAAAGCATCCAAGGAAAAATTCATAGTGCACACTGTTCTCCTATATGACCCCATAATTTTATTGCTCTAATTTTCTTGCCTGTGTTCAGTTCTGGATGTAATTTCTAAGTGCTGGGGCTGGGGAACCTGTCTGTCTTTACTGGAAATTAATGAGAACGTTGCCCATGCAAAAAACCATAAAAGAGAATTGCCTGGTTTGCAAAAAACCCAAAGTTAAAGTGTGAAGATGGAGTAGAGGGATGTGTGTGTTGTGAAATAGTCCTTAGCGCTGAGGTGTGCTCCGTTTGATGGCGTGGGATGTATGTATGTCCCTGCTGAGAGATGGGGCAGGTATCTCCGCTTTATAGACAAGGAATCAAAGCACATGAGATAAGATGATGATGGTATTCTGGATGTTCAATTTGGCATGCAAAATATCTAGTAGTAGTGTTTGTTGTAGCAGTTTGTACTCCTTATTTCCCTGGGAAATGGGCATTGGGCTCTGGGCAGAAATGAAGTGTGTGCGCTCTTCCTCTGCCCTGCTGCTTTTATGTATGGTCTGGGATGTGTGCTGGAGGGTTGGAGGTGGGAAGTGGGGGCTGTGGGGGTTCTGGGAGCACCGTAAGTGATGGGGAAGGGGGAGCTGTGATAAAGGGGTAAATAAATGGGCTTTGGGGGAAGGAGGTGCATTAGCTAGCAGAGGAGTTGGGTTGGTGGTGGAGGGATAGGGCAGGGAGCAGGCAGGGCTTGCTCTGGGTGTGATGCTGAGGCCATTGTGCCTGGGACCCCTCAACCCTTGATGGAGAGGTGGAGCAGCCGAGGGGGCAGGCAGCAAGGAGCAGCTTTGCATGTGCAACAGCCTCTTTGGTGTAGGCAGCACTGTACTGCACAGAGTAATTCCCTGGGGAGTCCACTACATGCAACTGGAGGCATCAGGTCCCATGATTAAAAGTTTTGGATGATGTCGATGTGATGCTACAGGTAATACTGTGATTTTTGCTAAGCGTGCATGCTTGGCATGTTCCCCAAGAGCTGTGCTGTAGGTAGAGGCAGTCTGCAAGGAGAGCCTGGGAAAGGCAGCCAGCCTTTGAGAGGTGCCTGAGAGCTCTTTCCTGTACGTGTCCATTCCCTTCCATCACTTCTCCTGTGCTTGCTTGAGGCTCGTGATCTCAGGACTGGGGAATGGTGGTAGAAAATAAAGCTGGTGTAGCCATGAAGTGGAATATTGTCTTTCTCTGGTCCTCTTGCATCACCATGAGTTGCTCCTTTGGCTGCTCAATGGATTCTCATCTTTTCAGTGCTGCACCCCTGATTGTTGCACATGGGCTGGATTCCCTCCTTTCCCTTCTGCCACTGTGTGTGGCAGCGTTACTTGCCCGGGAGGTGACAAGTGGGTGCTGGAGAGGCACAGAGGGGCTCTGGCCATGTCACTAAAACTATGGACCAAAGCCCAAACATCTGGAGACAGGTTGCAGCTGGTTCCCTCCCTCTCACAGGGCTTCATTGCCCATGTCCACTCCAGGAAAGCTGCCAATGTTGACTTGTGAACAAAGGCGGAGGCATCCTGTAAGGCAAAACAGGAGTGCTGTGGCTGTTGGGATGTAGATGATCTAATCACTGTACAAATACTCATTGCTGTTCATGTGCGTTTTTCTTCCATAAAAATTCCGGAGACACCACGTTTTCAGTGAAGAGTCCTCCCCAAAGTCACATTGTTGCTCTGCCTTCTGTATTTGCGAAGGGGTTTCCTTCAAATCCTCCCATGACTGTTTATGTAACACTGATTACAAATTTAAATGCTTAAAAAAAATTTTAAAAATAAATGAAAAATTAATGCTTAATTTTGTTTTATGCAGGCAATTGGAAATGCTAGAACAACAAGGAATGACAACAGCAGTCGCTTTGGGAAATACATTCAGATCGGCTTTGATAAAAGATACCACATCATTGGTGCCAACATGAGGACATATCTGTTGGAAAAATCACGAGTTGTATTCCAGGTGAGGAGTTGTGCTTTTTTCCTTCTTTTTTTTTTTTTTTTTTTTTTTTTTTTTTGCTTTTGGATGCTGTACTCTGGGAATTTAACAGTCTGGGCCTTTTCTATGGATTAAAAAAATAGCTTTAAAAGTAGCTTTTCTAGAGGACACTGCTTCTAGACATGTCCTTCAGGCTCAGTATTTTGCAGTTGTTCTCGATGATACCAACCTAATGAAACTCATTCTGGAGGAATATGTACCTGGGAGGCTTGTTAGTTGGCCTCTGGTTGTTCCCTCCATCTGTCCAAGGCTGGAGCCATGAGGAGGGACCACTACTTCTGGCCTGGCTGCTAGGCAGGGATGGAAAGCCTTTCTCTGGGCAACTGCTGAGATTTTTGCTGAACCTTATTAAAAGCCAGGAAGAATAAATCTCAGGCAACAGTCTTCAGTTTTGAAGATGGAGGAGAGGCAGGAGAAGGGCTGAGGAGGCTGATGGCTCTGCCACAGCACATCCTATGGGTTTCTTCTGCAGGGCTCGGGACAAGCTTTCTTGGTTTGTGCTGTTTCCTTTGCAGGATGGGCAATGTATATTGGTCAGGACAAGGCTTGACACCTCCTTTTTCCCAGGTGGCAAAAGGTCCCTGTCTTCTTGGTGACACTGAGAGAGTCCTGGTGGTGGGAAGCAGGGGATGGGGTCAGGGTGGCCCTGGGCTCAGCGAGCGCTGGGCTGAGGGTGGGAGCACTCCTGTAACCTCTTTGTGTCTCCGGTAACTTGGCGTTTTCCCTGTAGGCAGAGGACGAGCGCAACTACCACATCTTCTATCAGCTTTGTGCCTCAGCGAGTCTTCCAGAATTCAAAGACCTTGGACTAAGTAAGTACTTCTACCTCCCTGTGCACTGGTAGCTGTTGCATAGGTGTGATGGCAACAGGAAAACATGGTGGGGTTAGAAATGCAGGTCATTGGTGAGGTTATGTGTGCCTGTTCAGTGGGAGGAGGTAAAGGGAGATGAGCTTGCAGGGCTGCTTCTCCCCAGCGGTGCACAGGTTTCCTCATGCCATCTCCAGGGATGTGGCACCTTGGATGAGACGCCAGCCCTTGTTGCCTCCGCTGGGCAGCAGCTTGCTGAATGAAGTGCGTGAAGTTTGTGATGCGCCGGTCAGTGCTGTTAGGCTCCTGCAAGCACTGCTGGTGGGTAGGAGCTGTTGCTAGAGGTTAGCCGTGGTGGAAGCCTGTGTATGTTGTAGAAATTCCCTGCAGAACCACAGTGAACCACGTGCTGTGGTAGATGCCAGCTGATGCAGGGAGATGGTGTGTTAACATTGTACGAAACTTGCATAAAGATCTGTCTTTTTAAGTGAAGTGTGAGTATGGCTTGATCTGGCCAGGGTCTTGGCAGGAGCAGTTGTTTCCTTTGAATCCATTATATTTTTTCAATGGTTAACTCCTGGGATATAGCCGAACTTGTTCTTTTTTTCCCAGGATTTGCAGCAAAACCTTTGTAAGACACCTGAATAAGACACTTTTCACTTGCAGCAGGGGGTGCAGAGATGTGGTGTAATTAATTTTTCATCTTGAATATTTGCTGTTGCTTAAAAAGAGAAGTGAGGCTTAAAACATGCTTTTAAGTATTTAAAATGGGGAGCAAGGCAGGTTGTGATCCCAACGCAGAACATTTTGCTGCTGCAGAGTTGCACAGAGATTTCCATCGTGGCTACAGAGAAGTGGTAGATGGAGAGAGAGGCTTTCAGTTTCTGGGTAATTCTGGACTTGTTTTAATGACTTTTTACATCACTGTCAGCACATTGGTCACACTTACCGAGTGCTGGTGCTGAAATGGAAGCACTCCTGTTCTTGTCCTGTTGTCACCAGTAAGCCTCGGTGCATTACGCAACTGTAGTCCATACTCTGCCCAGTGACACCAAACCACACAACCCCATCAGCGAGTTTGCTAAGGCATAAGATAACTTTTGAGACCGTCTAGGTGTAACCATAATGTTGGTCCCAGTACATCTGGGTGGGAGGTGAAGGCTTTGCATGATTCACTGTGCACCAGCCATAGTGTGAAACCTGGCTCTGTAGGTCAAGGCTTGTGATGGACCTGGGACTCCTTTCGGTTTCTAAGGGTCCCAAAATGATGTTCCTCTGAAGGTGACTTCCCAGCTACTGTCAAAGAGCCTGTGTTTGGTCCTGTTGCATGTTTGCATGACGTCAGAGCACATCTCTGAGCACTTACAAGAGTTTCTGCAGTGGGGTTACATGCTTCATTTTTGCAAAGATACCCTGAGTAATGCGGTTGTCCACTGGCATCTTAACATTCAGAAATAAATTATTTCAAGCCAGTGTGGGAGACAAGTTGATATTGGAGAGCTGCAGCTGTGAAACCACCTTTCCCTTCTTGGGAACATGTGGATCAGAGGAAGTTATTAGTCTTGTTCAACACAGCTCTCTAAAAGCATCGTCTGTATTTGTGGTGACTGGTAATAGTGAAGGCTGAGAGTTCCGGGCTCTCCTGGTGCATCACCCAGGACATCTTTATTCTGTTGTCACTGTGGCTCTCAACTTCAGTGTCTCAAGGGACACTGCTTAATGGCAACAGCTGGCGGCATAGGAGGTGGTGGGTGCCAGGGCTGTTAGCCCACAGGGAAGCCTTCTTGGGTCATTTCTAATCAAAATTTGATGTTGTCAGTGTGTGTCAGTCTCCAGCTGCGCTCTTCCGTGGTGTTTGTGCATTTGATGTATCACAGCATGCGCAGGTATCCATACAGCCTGCTGCTTGTGCATTTGGGTAAAATGCAACAACGGAAAAAGAAATGATTCTTTCTAAAGTTCAAGGTGTGTGTCTTTGGTGTTTCCTGCACTGTCACCTTGCAACAGCTTAAAAATATCTCCCTGAAATGTTTTTGTACCTGGCAGATGCAGCGCTGCTCATGTGCTTGGCAGGGATGGGATGGCTTCTGGGGATGGGGACGTGGGTGCCGTGAGCTGCTTTTGTTGGGGTGAACCAGGCTCTGCCCTGACCTGTTGAATTACCAGTGCTGGGCAATTTTCTTCGAGTGCAGACGTGTGCCATTCACTTATTTTTCTTTCTTTTGAGGGTTCTTTTTCAATACCAACTTTGCATCAGATTTACTAGCCTGTATTTCAAGATAACTAGAGAAACCCCAAATTTATTTACTCACGTGAGATGTATCTTAACCTACCTGTCAACCTTATCTTCCCAAGGCTTATACAAAACAAGGGGTATCTTGATGTGAAAATCCACCTTTTATTAGACAGAGTAGAATGTATATTTTTCCATATCAAAAGTAGGAGCTGTTGTTTCTTCTTTGGGTCTTGCACATGCAAAGAATTGTTAACTCTCTTTTATATTGCAGAATGCTGGAAAACAAAGAGTCTCTAAACTTAGTTGAGCCCAGCAGGGCAAACCAGTAAGTGTTGGCTCTTCAGCTGGGGCGATCCTGAAGGCTTGATTTTAAACTAGAAAGTAAATATTTGACTTAAAATGCAGGAGTTTGTGTGCAACGCAGTGCCTTTCGAAGTGTGGTGTCTTAACTTGATGCCTGGGCAATGGTGCAAAGCAGGAATATGTTTTATTTGTTTACAGTGAATCAAAGGGTTTCTGTGGTTATTAAAATCATTGCACGCATACTGAAATGTAAGTATTGGAGTCAGTTATACCAGAGATGACTTGAGGCAGAAACAGATCCCAGTGTGGATGGTTAAAATTGGAGGCTGATGTCCTGGTCCCATCAACTACTGCCAGCCCTGGATGCATTTTGCAGGGTGACATGCAGCGACATCAAGTTGTTAATGTGATGTGCTCCATCACGAGCTGGGTGAGCTCCTGTTGTGCTGGGGCGACCAGGGTGGACACTGGCTCTCTGACCCCAATCAGCATTTTGTGCCCCTTGTTGCCAATGCTCCAGCAACGAGCAGGGTTACTGAAACTTCTAGGTCCCAGGGCTTTGTATGCCAAAAAGAATTAGATGTTTTTCCTGTAAGAAGGTTGTCCTGAAAGTACAGCTAATGCAAAAGCCTGTGGGAGGGCTGGGAAGGGATGAGGACCTTCTGATGGCAAAGTGAGTCAAAGAAAGTACAGATTGCATGATTTTAAAGGTTACCAGCAGGCTGACGTGGAACGCACAGTAGGCTGTATTTCTCATTATTTTCATGATACTTGGGTAATATGTGTGTGAGCGTTAATGATCTTTCTGAGCTTTTCTTGGCAAGTCACTCCTGCCTGGTTTGAAATGAGCTGAAGCTGGTGCTGAGAACTGATTCTGGGTGGGATGGGGAGGCTGTCCACCTCCTGGGCTCCCCCAGCCCTCCCTGGGGCAAAGTCTGCTCCGGCTCTGCCAGGACTCAGCCTGGCAGCCTTGGGCACATACCTTAATGGTTTTGACCTCAAATAACCCATTGTTTTAAGGAGGGGCAATTGCATGTGAAGCTTTTTAAAGTGGATGTAAGTCCTGCGATCTCTTCTTGTTGTGTCTGCATTTGAAATGCCTCTTGGTCTCCATAGGATTTAACTTTGCGTTGTCCTGAAATAACTTTGCTAAAGCACAGATGCTTAAATGGTGTAATGCTGGCACCATGAGCATTTCTCCATTCCCTTTGCTCCGTGGATTTAAGGCGTTATGTGGGAAGGGTGTTAAAATGTCTGAATTGGTCACAGGTATATAAAACAGGATAGAAAAAATTGAAAGTAGTAACCTCAGTATTTGAAGTAATATGCACCTGTGCAATAGAGCAGTTATTTGAATCCCAAATATAACACAGCTCTGCCCTGGTTGAACTTGCTTTGCATGGGGAAGGGGTTTAATCCCTGCAAGAAATAGTTACAGTCATAGTTATCGGGGTTATACTTCATTTCTAAGTAAACTATGGTTGAAAGGAGAGGGGTGCTTTTGGGGGATGGGCAGGGTGGGGGACAGGGACCATCCTAGTGCATGCTCTGGAAAGTTGCTGCTTGCTGATGCATTTCTTCTGTTTTTTTTCTCTCCTAGCATGTGCCGAAGACTTTTTCTACACTTCTCAGGGAGGTGACACGTCTATCAATGGCGTAGATGATGCTGATGACTTTGAGAAAACCAGGCATGCCTTCACCCTGCTTGGTAAGGGCTTGCTCTGCTTGGAGCCTTCCCAGCAGAAGTCTCTTGCAAACGTTTTCAGCCTGAATTATATGACCCTCCTGTAACACTAAGAGGTATAAATCCATGTTCCTATTGACCTAGTTGGCTTTACCTTGTTCTTTAGTATGAGCTGCAGCAGTGTCTCTCACAGCTATCTGCAAAGCAGCAGTGAAATAGAGGAGGACACTGAATTTAAGCAAAACCTAAATAAACCATTCTGGAGTCAAAGGTGTGCTGCAGCTTTGACTTGCTATTTTTTACCCTATTTACAAGCAGGAAAACTGCTATTACTTTGCAGTTCAAGCTGTATTTACGTTGAGGGTGATGTCACTTCTCGGACCATCACGGTATTGTACCAAGTAGCTGATTCCTGGGAATAATGAGCTGAGTACATCCCTGCTGTGCAGAGTCCACGTTTGCATGGCCAGCTGCAAAATCTACTGCTGCAATAACCACCCGTTCATGCTGTTGAGCAGTGCTGTAGTGTGCCTGCAGCAGTGACTGTTTGAAAGGAAAAACAATTTTTGCAGGTGAAAACTTTCCCAGTTTATTAATATTTATCTGAAATCAAGTTTTAAAATTCCGTTAAGTGTCGGTGCCTCTCCAGTGCATTTCATTTGTTGGGAGAGGAGCTCATGATGTTCACAGCCAGCTGTGAAATCCCCCCCAGCAGCTGTATCGCAGCCACTGTGCTGTGCCGGCAGTGAGCATGGGGATTCATTTCAAGTGTTATGACTGCAAGTGTTTCCCCCAGATTTGTCCTCTTTGTGTTTTAGGTGGGCTCGGTCTCTTTTTCTTCAGGGTGACAGCGGGGTCTTTCTTTACCCTCCTCTTGTCTGGCTGCTGTGACTTCTAACTGTTAACTACTTAAAAAACAAACAAAAAATTATTCCACTGGTTGCTCCAAACTTGCCCACAGGACTGTAATCCCCAGGGAACTGTCTCCCCATCCCCTTGTAACGTGTAGTCTCTCTTTGGTCCCCTTCTCTGCCTCCCCAAGCAGACCCGCTGTCTCCTTGCTGGTCCCTGCGGAGCACTGTGCAAGCATCTTCCCCTGCTGCCAATTTGATGATGTTTTCCTGCTCTTCACATGGTTCCTCTGGCCCTGCATTTCCTCATTTTCCTTCAGCGTTTCCCAGCTCTGTCTGCTTCTGTTTAGGGCCTGGTGAAATTGCTGCTACAGTTTCTAGTCTTACCTTTTTATGTGTAACAAGGAGAAGTCAGATTTATCTGCAAATCCCCACGCTAGCCAGGCTTAACTCCAATTAAGAGTGCCAAGTAACAGCAGAGCATTGCTCCTTTTAGTAACCTTGAAACATTTCTCACTGTGCTGATAACAGAAAAGTCCCGAGAGAGAGAAAGGGAAGCTCTTGATAATTCAAAAACCAGCAGGTGATGGCTGAGACCTTGGGTGGATAATTAGGACACCAGCACTGAACACAAAAGGGACACAGAAGCCCAGTTGGGACGTGAAAATGCAAGATACGGCAAGAAAGCTGTGTGCAAGCTGCCGCTGAGCAAAGCTCCTGCTGGGAATGCCTGCAAAAGCCTGCCAGAAAAATATATAAAGCAATAACATCTTACACCCCCAGTGAAGACCCAAAATGCGTAGCTCCTGTTGAGACACTGAGGACCATAAGACAGAGCTCCACATCACCTCCCTGGTGACTTGCTGTATCCAGCTGTAGTACCAGTCTGGAGGCGTTGTGCATCATGTGCACACCTTTAATTTTCTCTTCTGTTTGTGGGATACCGGCAATAAGTTGTAATTTCTGTGCTTCAGTTGTCAGCAAGATCTCACTGTTTGACTACTATCTCAGAGAAGCGACTCCTTGTTCTATAAAAGCCTCAGAGCCCTTATAGCTTTGATCCCGTTTGATCGTTATGGAGTAGCATCATTGGTTTCGTGCGCGTGCACAATACTATTAAACCCATCTGTGATAGAATTGCTTTGATAAAACCATTAGGGGTAAAGAAATAACATAAGAAGCTCCTCTTGCAGTATCCACTGTCATTTTTGAGTGATGACTTTTCTGAGAGTTTATGATGAGTTTATTGTGAGAGGTGTGATAACTCTGAAAACCAACAGCCTGGGAAGGAAATCAAGCGCCACGAACTTTTTCAAATAAAATGAAAATTGCAGTTTGTTTTCTGTTGAGACAATCAAATATCAATTGTTCCCATAGGAGTGAAGGAGTCTCATCAGACAACCATTTTTAGGATAATTGCTGCCATTCTGCACCTAGGGAACTTGGAAATCCAAGCGGAAAGAGATGGTGATGCCTGTAGCGTATCGGTAAGTCACTAGCAAGAGTGGGGCACGTGGGGGAGCTTTGTATGCTCATAAATTGGGCCATGCCGGATGTGTTGAGCTTCGCAGCAGTATTCTTTGGTAGAAAGCCCTTTTCCTCCTGGTTTTCTTTGCTTTTTTCAAAAACACATCATGATTTTCTGGTTGCTTTGTTTTTCCTGGAAGACTGCATTATTTCTCCTCTTTAGCCAGCCTGTAAGCTAGGTGATTCCAAGGTCTCTTACGACCTTAAGTCCCGACCCATCTTTAACTCTTCTGCTTTCTTAAAAGACTTGGTGCACAGAATATTGGGGGAACTGTGACTCCCACCAGCAGAAGGTGTGATGCTCTACAACTGCTTTGCTACAGGCAAAGCCATGAGGCTGCTGCTTGTAATGTGGCCATCCAGTATCCAAAGGAGCACTGCACAGTTAATTAGCAAGAATAAGTAAGACTAAAGATGCCTTAGTGGTCGTTTTTCTGTGTTTGTTTAGGGAGGGAAAAAAGGGATTATATGCAAAATACTGTCCTGTCAATTATCATTGCATCCCAGACTGGGTCGTTTGTTCCTAATCAAAGTATTAAAATGGGTTCTGCAGACACTTTTAGTGGTACCTTTGAGATAATGTGGTGTGCAATTAGTTAGGTGCTGGGGGTAATTTGCTTGATATTTGGCAACATGAATATGTGAAAGTGGTGTGCTCCGACAGTGTTGAGTTCTGTAATGGAGTTCATTTGTTTAATTACCTTCAGATGTAATTGCATGGTATTACATCAATTCTGTTATGACTTTGAAACCATGGTCAAAAAGGTATCATAGCAATAAAGCATCCTAGATGTCCTTTAAAATGCATTTTTCTCTCTGTCCCCAAACCTGTCCAGCATCCGTACCTGCATGTATATAACTGGAAACAATTTACTTCCTTTCGATGTGTATTATCACACTGAGGAAAGGGAAATTGATTTCTCATTGTCCAGAAGGCAGTGCCTGCTATCTTAGCATAATAGAGACTCAGAACTGCCTTGTCTTAGTCTGAGGGGGTAAAAATACAATGCACTAGAGAAAATGAAGTTCACATTTCATTTTATTGATTATGCAAAACACAAGCCCTTCTGGTAATGCACATTTTGCAAGTTTATTATTCAAAATGGAGTTAGTTTGTAAAAGGCATGGTGTAATGGCATGCCCTAAGCTTTAACTTAAGGCTTAAGCAAGGTTGCTCTGAAGGAGCGTGTAGTTGCAGCTCAAGGAGGAGTAAAGTGGAGAATGCTCTTTCCCATTAGCAGTCACTATGGAAATGCGCTGTTTATGAACGTCGAGACCTTAAGGCTAGCCAGAGCAGAGCAAGGGTGTACCACTGTTCAGAGCTCCACGTGAGCAGTTTCATCCATGTCCATGAAGACTAGTGCAAATGGATGAGTGCTCATTGCTTTTCTGTTTCCTATCAACCACAGAGAAACACGGTATTTCCCTAGATAGTTACGAAATGCTGTTAATTTCTTGCACTGATCTGGGAACTCGGTGTTAAAACTCCCATTTTGGAGTGTCACCAACTTGCTAACTTTGCTTCTCGTTACCCCCAGAGTGAGGACGAGCACTTGAACAACTTCTGCGGCTTGCTGGGAGTGGAGCACAGCCAGATGCAGCACTGGCTTTGCCATCGCAAGCTCGTCACCACGTCCGAGACCTACGTGAAGAGCATGTCTGTGCAGCAAGTGGTGAATGCCAGGAATGCCCTGGCCAAGCACATCTATGCCCGGCTCTTCAACTGGATCGTGCAGCATATCAACAAGGCCCTGCACACCACCGTCAAGCAGCACTCCTTCATCGGTGTGCTCGATATCTATGGGTAGGCACGCTTTCTGCTTTTAAGGCTGTTTAAGTAGTCTTTTCTGATTTGTCTCGCCCTTCTGATAATGCGTGCTTGACCTTGACTTGTGGCAGGTGATGGGAATAATAGAAGGGGATCCATGAAACTGCAGTCATGTGTGGTTTGCAGTTTTGATTTTCCTCTAAATTATGCAACCCCGAAACGGTGTGTACAGATGTGTTTGAGTGCTGGTTTTGGGGATTTACCTCCCATGCTGTTCCTGTTTGAGATTTCTGTCCCCTGTGCTATTTAAAGCATCAAGCTTAAAGATGAGCTGGGGTAAAGGTGCCAATGTGGAGGCTAAAGACTGCGCTTGGCTCTGCCTGGTGTTGCTGTGGGCTGTAAAGAAACTACTTTGGTTCTTCAGCTGTGAAACTGCTGCTGCAGGGCCCTTGTGCAGTGAGAACTTTCGGAGGACTTTGGGAAGCTGCAGCAGTGGTCTAAGGTGCAAAAAGTTCTGCTATAACTGAGGGCAAGGCTCGCAGCCTGCAACTTCAGGCTAAGAGTTGTAGCCGCTCCAGGAGCTGGTCCCTGTGCAGTCGCTGTTCTTGCTCAGTCCCAAAATCTCATGTAATGGCAGACTCCTCGTAAGGTCTGTTAGATCTAGGTAAACCTGAAGTTCAGAATGAAATCCTGCCAAAGCAGTTCTGGGTCAGCTGCAGAAAGCTTTTATGGCTATAATACCTACACAGTTACTGGAACTGGATCTTGTGTATAAAACCTCCCATGGAGTTTCTACAGCTGCTGGTGTTTGGGATATTGATTTTAACACCTGCTGGACAGCCATGGCAGCAGAAAGTGTGCCAGAAAGTGCCGGAGCATCGGCGTAGCCTACTACCTGCTCATCTCTCTCAGCAACTGCTGGCATACAGAAGGTTTGCAGGAACACTTGTGTCAAGTATGATAAGAATACAGTCCTCTGTGGTTTGGGATTTCAATGGGATGACCTGAGGTGGTGAGGGTGGTGTCAGAGGTTTGCAAGTGTCTGTCTTAGGTAGATAGCACAGGACGTGGAGGATCTTAAAACATCAGTTGTTTCCCCTCATTCTCCCTAAAAATAGAGATTTCTGTGGGCTGGGATATGATAAAGTTTTGAGATGGAGCTGCATGGATGATAGTGGGTCAATGCAGGAAATTGGATGTCTGAATTAGAAAATCAGACACGGTCTTTCAGAAATCTGAAAAAAAGGAGTCTTGAGGATAACACTTGTGAAAGATTAAGTTGGGCTTGAAAACCTGTTAGTGTGGAAGAAATACGTCCCTCAGCTGCAGGTCTCCTGTGCATCATGTCCAGCACGTGGGCCAGCAGATGCTTTTACAGCACTGGTGTCACCGCGGGGTACAGAAGGATTTTTTTTTTCCATGGGGACCTGCAGGTCCTGTCGAAAGAGGTGGGTTTACAGGTGAAGGATGTCCATGCTCCAGGCCATAATGCTTGTGTGTGAGTCTGGTCTCCTAAAGAGACCATAAATCCCTTTCAGAAGTGGGTGGTGCTGTCTAAATGCTGAGTAATTAACAAGGCAGGGACCTGGGGTGCTGACAACCTAACTCTCTGCAGTCCTTGAAAGTGGTTTGGTTCCCCAAACTCAGGTTATTTGGGAGTTTTAATGCGTTCTGCCAAATATTGGAAATTTTTTTCCCCAAAATGTCTGTTGTTTTTCCTTTTCCTCTAGGAGAGGAGTTAAGCTAGAAAGGCAGGGAGCCTGCAAGCAGCCTTCACCACATGTCCCTGACATGCTGAGAGCATCTCTGTCCTGGTGCTCCTGGGGGAGGACTGTCCCCATGGGTGGGATTTCTAGGGACAGGGTCCAAACCAAGGGTGCAGAGGCTGTGGGGTTTGTGTCCTAATTCTTTAATGCTCGACTCCACATCCTTAATTCTCTGCTGACACCGGGGTGAGAGGGTGCAGCATTAAAAGCCTTTATGTATTTATTGCAAGTGCGTCATTTACTATAGTAGCAATACTGCAATCCCTCTGAAGAGTGGATTCATGTGGCATTCCTGGACTTGGCGGGGATGGCTTGTTTTTCCTCTGTTTGCCATGTGAAGGGAAGTGTGAACACCCAGGTGGCCAGCTGTATGCTGGACTTACTTATGAACTTTAAATATTTCAGTATAAACCCTGGTGCTGCAGTGGATTTAGGAGATATCAGTCACACAGCAGAATAGGGAACAGGAGAAAAGCCAAAATGCAGAATTTAGCCCCCAACATCTGCTCATGAGAGCTGTCCCCAAGCTGGGATGTGCTTTTCCGGGTGCCACAGTGATGGGTTGGAGCGGTGGATATGCTTATCTTTTGCACCAAGATATAGTGCACTAAAATGAATAGAAACTGAGTGGCCATTGGTTTGCTTTTTGCATTAGGATGTCATCTTAATGCAGGCACTTTGTGCGGGTAGGACCTCCTGGCGAGGGCATACGTGGAGCTGGCGACTAAACTGCTCTGTCAATTAGCAAATTGTGCTGGCAGGGTCCCCTTAATTAGCGACTTCATGAAATCTCCCTTGGAGCTGGTGTTCTACAGCTGCTCTGCCCCCGTCTGGCATTCACTGAGAGGGTTCATAAATCACATCTGGTGTCTCTGAAGTGGAAAAAGAGTTTCCACTCCGATATCTTTTCCCCTTATACCCCCGCTCTTGTGTTTTTTCCACCTAGCTCAACGTGCCTCTCCATCTCTGTTTTAATTAAATCTTTTCTTGCCCTGTTGCTCTGATCATGAACCTGCAGGAGTTGGTATTTTCAAGCAGTCCTGGGGAAGTCGCATCCCTTCAGTTGCAAGAGCTGAAGGCACCGATCTGCTCGGTGCGATGGCTGTGCAACCAAGATCAAGCACATTGGGAGTTCTTCAAGGACACGTTCACCACTGAGGCTCTGGCCACGTGTTTAATATAAACATTCATTGGTCCCAGACACCAGATTTAGTTGCAATAAGGATTGTGAAGCTCTGTTCCTGGGATGGGGATGCGTTGAACATCCTCTGCTTGGCACAGGCTGCACTGACGCCAGGGGCAATGCCAGCTCCTGGACAGACAAGGGGAAGTGGTCCTGGGTTTTCTTGAGTGCTGTGGGGCTGATATAAGCACAAAAGTGGCTCCTTTCTCCCATTCCCCCCTTCTCCTTTTGCATTTTTGCATTGCCTTTCCTCAAGGACTCGGGCGTTTTGTACGGTGAGGGCATTACCACCTGGCAATACCTGGGGAATAACTGCATCACATAGATGACAGCCAGGTAGTCCTCAGAAAGTACCAGAAATACTGATTTTTATTTTTTTGGGGGGTGGTGGAAGAGGAAAAAAAAAAAAAGGGGCTTCATTTGTTCAGTACTTTAAGACTGTTCTGCCAGCTCCTACAGCACCTATTACGGGAGCAATTATTTCACCATGCATTTATCATTACAGCAGCTTATTCGTTAAGCACAGGGAGCCTTGCCACTTCTCCCCTTAGTTTAATCCTTACAGTCATGTGTCAAAGACTTTTTTCCTCCTCCTTCCAACTGTGCCTTAAAAATAGAAATATAAATAACATAATTCCCTATGGTAGCTGAAAAATGTCTTTTTTTTAAGAGCAAACCCAGCTCCCTGTGCCTGTCCCTGGGCATCGCGTACTTCAGCCCTGACCGCCCCAGCAGCTCCGCTGACTTTCTGCTGCCTGCTTGCCTGTAGTTTGTGTTATTAAAACTGCATATTCTTTCTTTTCTAATTGTGACTAGAAGACAGTTTTGAGCTTGGTTTGGAGTTGGCTGATGGTCTGTGGAGGGGTGGGATGATGTTTCTGTGAGGGGAGCTTTGGAAGCCCCGGTGAAGAGGGGAATCACCAAGACCAACACCAAACTCCCTCTAAGAAATGTGTTGGAATTGGAGCTGAAAGCACCATTTCTCCCTCTGCCTTCCAGAAGTCACTTGCTCACATGTATCTAATTTTTGTGCTATCAGGGATGCAATACAGAGGCTATAATGATGAATTTAATACCTTCTTTTTCTGCTCTATTGAATTGCATTAAAATTACCATGTTGAGTCTTTTAAGACAGCAGCTACTGTTTCTCCATCACCTTTGCAGCGAATATATTTGGACTTAATATTTCATAATATTTTTCCCTGAGAGAGGGTGTTACATTTCTCATCTCAGACAGCACTACTGCCTGATGGGCAGGAAGCTACAGTCGTACCGAATATCTCATTTGTGAGTAGCAGAAGAGACCTATTGAATCCCTTGGGTGGTGGCAAGGAAAGATAGACGTTTCGGGGAATGAGGAATAAAGAGTAGATCTGGGATAGGAGGAACGCAAAGAGATGGTTGAATAACTGGTGTTCCCTGTCACGCAGATGACGCTGTTGCAGAGACAAGTTGATTTTGAGACTAAGCAATGCTTAATACTGATTTATTCATTGCTTTGCAGGTTTGAAACTTTTGAAGTGAATAGCTTTGAACAGTTCTGTATCAACTATGCCAACGAAAAGCTCCAGCAGCAGTTCAACTTGGTAAGGTCAGCTTGGAAGCGTTCCATAAAACTTAACACAAAACATATCAAGGCTGGATTACTGTATGTCTGGTTTCTGCTTAATTGCACTTACCTGCAGCCTGGCCAGATCGCATGGCCAGCATGAATGTCGTCCTTGGGATACCATCTCTCCTGGGCAATGATTGTGCATTGCAATTGCACTAAATATTCATATCAAGTTGAAAATACTGCTTGATTGATTTATAAGCTTGGTACTGGAAACAGGTTTGCAAATGGTTTATGCAAAGTTTCATTGATGGTTTTGGGTAAGTAGGTAGTTTGCCAATTTTTGTTTTTCATAGTGTCAGTCCTAAACCAAAACCTGGATAGTCTCGTGCCGAGTCCTGATTTCCACTGTGAGATAAAGCATGGGTGGAAACCTGCCCATTAAATGTGGCTTAAATGTCTGCAACGAAAACTCTGTATTAAGTAGCAGGATGGGACGCACTCCCCATTTTTCACTTGGACATGCCTCACAAAAACTTGAGATTCTTCTGTTTTATTAAATACAAGCGCTTACCTGCGCTGGAAATGAAACCAGTAAGGGGTTGTTTTCTGTTTTTGTTGTAAGCAGGGAAAAAAATCACTATTAGTTTCAGGATACAAGGGAAAACTTGTTAAATTTGAGCAGCTAATTACTGTGGAGTAGTTTGGCACTTTGAAACTGTATCATATGCATGGACGTGAACACTTGCAGTATATCTCATGCATCAGATCACCGCTGCTAAAAATGAAAAGTAAATTATGGATTGTATTTGCACTATTCATATCTTACTTGGTACATCCAACTATCACTTCTGAAGCTTATAAATTCAAACTCTGAGATGACATGTTTGAAGAGATTTTAAAAAGCTATCTTTGAAGAAAAAAGTGCGTTTGAAAAATCATTTTTTTAATATGCTTAGAGTATCTCAGAAATAGCCAGAGACAATTTATCTGCTAGAGCAGAGGTCTGAGATATAAGCCATTCAAAGATTTTTTTTTTATTTTTTTTTTTTTTTTTAAATAACAATCTGCAATAGAAGTGTTCCTGAGTCAGTTAGATACTGCTGCTGATATCCTTTCTAGGACGTTGGGTGCTCTCTGTGAAGCTCTGCTCACAGATGGGGTCACATGCGCTCAGCCCTGGCTGGGCTCCCAGCTTGTGAACCTGCTGCAGCTCACTAGTTTAATCAGCAGAGCACTAAAGGAGAGAGGGATTTTTCTTAGCCCAAGAGATATATATGTCATTGTCATTTCAATATATGGCTTCCACCTAGATGTAGTGACAGCTTCAGTCATTTTCTAGTGAAAGTCATTTAAAGCCTTTTTTCTTTTTCCTACCCCATGGTTTCCTAGTGTAAAGCTTTTATTTTCCTTGCCAGAAGCTAGATTGTGTAAATGGTAGAGGCTGTACAAAGCTGTACGTGAGGACACCTAAAGCTTCTATGGCTTCTGGATGTACTGATGGAATATTTTATTCCAGTGGGGACAAGTGGGTGAACGGGGAAGGGGCTGGTGCTCTGCTGGCTGGGATCATGGTCAGTAACTCTGTTGTTTTTCCACTCTCAGCACGTGTTTAAGCTGGAACAAGAAGAGTACATGAAGGAGGGAATCCCTTGGACTCTCATAGACTTCTACGATAACCAGCCCTGCATAGACCTTATAGAGGCAAAACTTGGTATCTTGGACTTACTGGATGAAGAGTGCAAGGTAAAGAGGATCATCCACCTTTTTGCTGGCATTTTTATTTTTATAAAAGGTTAAAGAATGGGCTTTAACCTGTGGTAGCTTGCAAGAGGGTAAACATCTCCTTTCACATGCATTGCCAGGTGCTCATAGCTAGGGTAGGCTGTTGGCATTTGCTTTGCTTTGCTTTAGGACTATCCAGAGCCTCCTTGGCAGATGTTTGCTACCAACCTGGGTACCTGATCTCACCATGTGTTGCCAGAGCTCATGCTTCTGGCCTTGCTGCACTTAGGAATAGCCTTTGCGTGCGACTTTTTCTTCAGTGTTACCCAAGAGCTGGAGTTCCTCCCTGCCTCAAGCCTTACTTTGTGCCAAGGGAAACCTGGGTTGTCTTGTGATAGCTATTTGGGGTAAAGTCAATTGCATTTAGTGTACAGACTTCAGATGCTTATTATGTTGGGAGAGTAGTTTGCTATCTTTTACTCTCTCTCTGATACCAGCCTAAATTACATCTTGCTTAAAAGTTGAGAAGAAGGGCCAGAATCACAAACCTTCATGAGAATCCATAAGAAAGGTTGCACTCCTTATTCAGTCATGAATTATCAAATATATTTAGAAACAAGAAATGCAAGATGGAAGAGCCTCTTGGGAGGCTGGGACGCCTGTTTTGAAGGTCTTTGGTGTTAAGAGTAAGTGGAAAGTCCGGAGTCTTTAGGTATGGTCATCTCAACAGGAGAGCTCAGTGTGATGCCTTGATGAAAAGGGCTCCTACATTGGGCAGAGCAGCTCGTATCGCTTCAGTTCTGGTGTCTGCACAGCAATGATGGTGAGGGAAATACTGGAGAGAGTGTTATCAGATCAGGGCTATAAAACATTGTGATACTGAGGATAAAGAAACTTGAGCGCTGCACATGAGTGGTTGTAAGTGATAGTCAGTGGGAGGGTTTTCAGACCCTCTGACACACACACAACCCCCTCCCACCCCCAGCATGCAATAGCTAGAAGTTGAAGTTAGACAGATTCAACCATGAAATAAGCCTTTTTAATGCTGAGAACAGCCCGGTGGAAGGGGGTGGTGACTGCCTTGCTGATGGATGTGGCTGCCTTGTGGAGCCTCAGGCTGGTTTTGCTGTGGTGTGATCAACAAGTTGTCTTTGGGAAGAGTTTCTATCAAGACTTGGATATACTCTGTGCCAGGAAATGTCTTATTGACTGTAGAAGGGCTTTGAGGGTTTTTGAAGGAGGGCAGAGAAGGGTGAGGCAAAGGGTGGTGGGAGAGCTGAAGCAGGGAATGGGCCCTTCACCAGGATAGCCAAAGTGATGAGAAGGACACAACGAATTCTTGTTGGCTCTGTGGGATCCATGGGTATGGGACAGATCCAGTGGTCCGAGGGCAGGAGTGTCATGTTGCATCAGAGGGAAAGGTTTTGGATCCATTATTTAGACTAATGTCCCTGTTGGGATTTAAGGAGATGTATGACTTGTCTGGAAGCGAGGTGACCTGTCAAGTGGCTGCTCTCCTCCATGCGACAGGGCTGCCTTCCCATGCACAACAGGGCTGTCCCAACCTGCACATCCCATGAGCTCAGTCCTCATCTGGGGTACAGACATGCCAGCTGTCTCTTTGTGATGAGCCAGAGTTGTGGCTTTGCCCTTTTCAAATCCAGTCTCAGGAAGACTCCTTGAAAATGAGAACAAATTAAACTTAATTTGATGCCCTCAAAAATAGCATCTTAGCCAGTGCTGGTCAGAAGGAGGTCAGATTATTTGCTTGATATTCAGCACCATTTCTTTTGGTCTCTGCACTATTAAGCCTGTTAAACTCTTCAAGCTACAGCTGACTCCTGGGTGTTTAAGGGAACTTTCCTTTGTGCCATATTGGCTGATACCGCCCTTTGCTCCTCTCTGAAGCACCTGGCACTGGTTGCTGCTGGTGACATTGGATTAGATGGAGCAACTCCTGTGCAACAGCAGTAGTATGGACAACTTTGCTGTAGATCTGCTTGGTACTACTTTTTCCGTATGTACTTTTTTTTGGCCAAAAAACTGAAACACAAGATCTATTCCCCCCCCCCATCAAATGCCAGTTATCTGGGTATTTACCTGTCAGTGGGGAATGCTGTCATTAGTCACAGGCCCTTATTATGGGCCCTGTAATCGGCTCTTTTATAATAACCTGCAAGTGTTCTCCAGCTTTATGAAAATTTCAGCAAAGCCTGTCAACTGAAAGCACCAGTTTATAGATGAAAACCTTCACCCCCGCAGCAGCGTTTTGCCTCTCGGGGAGAGCTGGCGGGCGCAGGACCACAATAGGGTAATTGCAAGTCATCTCGTTAGCACGTACAAACGTTGGATAAATATACTCTGGAACTTGAAATGGCATCGAGGGGGTCCTGGCAACATAATGAAACATTAGCGCAAATGCGGAGGGTTTGTCGCTAATGTTCTTGCTTCACAGTATGGATTTTTTTTTTTAATCTTTAATGTGAGGTTGGGGAGGGAGTGGTTGGGTACGTGCTGAAGCAGTTCAGCTAACAAAGGTCATATGAGAGTCTTGTCACTGTTTGGAGAAGAAGGGGACCAGACAGGGTTGAAATGGGCATCGGCAATGAAAGAGAGGGCTCTCGAATTGCAACTGGAGTTGTAAGGACTAAACCTGTCTCATGAAAGCAAACGATAAAACCCCTAGCTCTGAAAAAAGAGGGCTTTAGGATATGTTTGGGTTTGGGTTTTTTTACCCAGCTTTGAGGTCTTAGGAGTTGGAAGCTGTTGTACAAGCTCCTCCTAAGCTTGGAGGGGGCTTCTGGAGGTCATTTGGTCTGACCTTCAGTTATGTCCTTGGTCTGCCCAGGAAGCCTTATAATCTCCATGAGACTGTGACCTTATGTCTTCTGCTAAGTGACCTTGGAGGTCAAAGAGCCTCTTCCCCGTTTCCTGCACTGGAGGGTCACCTGCTTAGATCTGAAGCTTTTAGGACTTCTTGGTTTCACTTTGGCATAAAAGATGCTGGAGGAACAGCAAGAGTTCATGTCCCGTGTACAGAAATGTCACTGGCCAGAAACCAAGGCCACCACGACAAGCACAACATTGAAGTGCTTTAACACAAACTGGTGAATGAGCCTGAAGAGGAGGGAAAGGGAAGAAGGGCTGCATCCAGGAGAACCTCCCTGCGGGTGAGCTGTGAAATGTGGAGGGACTCACCGTAGGGCCAATGGCAATGGTGGGAAATAACCTGGGATAAGAGGAGAGGAGAGTAAGGAGACCAGCGTAGAGCCTATCAGAACAGACAGGCGTTAAGGAGGAAGGCTGTCTTATGAAAATCCAGTCGTGGGAAGTTGGGAGGGCATGTGGAAGACTTGCTTGGATGTCTGGGATGGCTTTAGGGTATGGTTGGCCTTATTGTAGAGGGAATGACTTTGGCAGAGGGGACAGCAGACTTCCTAGGAAGGCTTTGAAGGCTTTGTGGTTGGAGGGAACACATGAAGAGCAACTTCAGTGCTCTGGAGAAGAGAAGCCAGTTGGGGTTGATTTTTTCAAGGGACTTAAATTATTCTCAGAGGAAATTGAAAATTCTCTAAGAAATGCAGTCAGGTCTCTGTAACAAAGCTGGATAAGGTGTCCTGCTTTTCTGGCTGAAACTGCTTGCTCCATGGGAGTGCTGTGTGTTTTCCATACACTTCCCAAGTGTCATTCAGGAGTACAGTCAGAAGTTGTTGTGAATGTCCAGGTTTCTCCATAAGGTGTCCTGCTGACTTTCTGCTCTCTTGTTTTTGCCTGTGCTGTTGGGATGGGAGTGGGAATGGAAAAATTAATGAAAAAGCATTTCTATTGGCATGAAGTGCATCTAAAAGGGTTTGATCAAGGATGGGCTGGTTGGATGGGTCGATGTGTCAGTCATGGCATCGTTTTCCGCGTGCTGTTATGGATCTTAGTGAAATTCTTTCTGCTGAGGAGCAACGTGACCCTCAGGCTGCCAAAGGGGGATGTGTCTAACCAAACCCCAAAACTCCCTCATGTTCTCAAACTCCCTTGTGGATCCATTTTGTGTTTTATGGCACGTTGCCATCGTGTTACACTGTTAATGTGCCAAATGCGTTTTCTAACGCTTTTCAAAAGATGCTCTTTAACCTTTCCTGTGTCCTTCTGTCAAGTGCCAGAAACACTGAAGTCTGCTTCTACCAGACTGCTTTTCAATCCTGCTTGTCTCTGTGCATTGCTGTGAACTTAATTACCTGAGCCAATGTGTTTTCCTTGTCTGGACTTGTTAGTTTTTTGAACATCAGAAATAAGCACGTTGCCTTCCTGTGCCGCCCGGTCCTGTCCAGGGGGATTTCTGCTCCACGGGCAGATACATGGAGGTTGGACCTCTGGACTTCCCTTTCAGGTGGACCGCCTAATCTGAATAACGGCAGAATAACCTCGCCTACGTCACGCTGTCAGCTTTTATGACTTTAAAGTCAGGCGCATCACTTGCAGCGGAGCGTGTCTCTGGAGTGTGGAGGAAGCCCAGGCTCTTTTCAAGCTTTAATACCTATTGGAGTGTTAAGGAGAAAAGAAATAAAATGTAAATAGCTCCTACTGTGTTTTCAGAGGGTTGACTTGTAGATCATTAGGTATGAAGGGACCTTTGTTGCTTTTATCCAGTTAATTGTCCTTCTGTTGGAGGTGATGGTGGAGGGAATCTCAGCCTTTTGTCCAAGCAGCTCCAAACATCTCTTTGGCTGTCTGGTGGTCATGGTGGGTTCTTGACCCTGGGATGCTTCTGATGCAAAAGCTGTGGACCCAAGCCTAGGGGCTGACCCTGGCTGCACCGGCTAGGTTTGATTTCAGTTTCAGTAGCTCCTGGCAGCTTGGAGAACAGTCTATGGAGATGGGAGGTGATGCTGGCTGGGATTACGCTGCCCAACCGATTTTATGCAATGATGGGTAGAGGGCTGGTGAGGACAGAGAAGCAGAAGCAGTGACCTTGTGAAATCACTGATGTAAGGTTTTTCCCGTTTAGAGATTTCCATACAATACTTACAAGACAGTCGGTTCTCGTCTTTCCCATCCCCTAATAATGTCTTGCACTGATGAGATAGTCTCTAAATAACTTTCTCAGTGGCTCTAAAGGCCTTAAACTGCCAAGCCAATACCAAAAGCTGTTATAATAGCATAGATAATGGCCCTGTTAGTTTTTATCTCTGGGACTTGGTCCCTATCAGGTGCTTCTCAGGCAGCTAAAAATACCCAGGCTGCACAACAGTGAGCAGGGAGCGGTGTGGGTATAGCGAAACCCTGTTTCTGGGAGGCAGGAGCGATGCCTTTGAAGTTCAACTCTGAGATAAGCAGGAGTTTTCAGCCAAGTGGATGGCCTAAAAGAGAGCTGGTGCAGGATAAAGCTGCTCTCTGCTGCATCTGGTGGCTCAGGTGGCAGCAGTGTTCCTGCTCTGCACTCACGGCTCGGTCCTGAACAGGAGAGACCTAATGATAGCTCCAGAAAGGATGGGGTTTTTTACATATAAATATGAAATATAACTGATGAAAAGAAACTCATGTGCATTTATGTAACTCTATAGTTTAAATAGGCATGTCTATCTTGCGTAAATAACATATGTTTATAATTGCATAAATAAATACCTTTTAATGTTTATATAAAGTCCATGTTATTTCTATGTGTATCCATAATTGGCTACACTTACAACTGTAAAACATAAATATGTCTGGGATAGCATGGCTTGTGTGAGTGGCTGCTGCATTTAATTCAGCCACTTCTTCCAGTTAATGGCAGTGGGCAGGAGATACTTGTCCCTGTGTCCGGAACCCTTCTGATGTGTTTTGGCTTGCTGTCATGAAATCAAAGGCTGTTTCAGAGCAGCATAAAGAAATATTCCTCATCTGTCTCAAGTTTTCCTTTTTAGTGTTTGCTGTCCCTATTTCCTCTGTCAGTTTTCATATAAAGGTCTACGTAGAGACCTGATGGATGATCCAGAGCTTTCCCTGACGCTGCACAATTATTCTGTGGTTTCTAGGCTTTGTCCCATCTAATTTTAAATATTGCCTAACACTTTTCTTCTGACTCTTCTCTTTTCCTAACCTAAATAATCCAGTCGGCCATTTTTTTGGTTAAAAATCATGTGTGTGTGTGTCACCATTGCTGTCCTGTCATGGGAAGCAGTGATGGAGGGTCCACCAGCCTGTGCCTTTCCCATCCCTGCCGGCCAGGCAGGAGGGATGGGGATAAACCCCATCAGCTGTGGTCCCCAGCCTTCAAGTGTAACAACTTCCCTCCTTGTTTCCTTTGGTTTTCAAGAATTTTGCTTTCTGGCAAACTTGTGCTGGAAAAGTACAAAAGAACAGATATTTACAGCCATGGTGCTTTTCTCAAATGCCCTTAGGTTTTTTTGGAAAGCTTTGGGGGTTTGGCTGGTTAGCAGAGGGGCTTGAACATACCCTAAAAAAAGAGTCTTTATGGGAAGTGTAATCATGAGAGTATAAGAAGTTACAATATATTGTTATATGCTGCTATACAGCTATATGTGCTTACAAAACAATAAACCAAAACCAATTTTTTTTTTTCCTGATCTTGGCAATATATTGGTAAAAACTGCAGGTGCTGGGTAGGAAGGTAAGCTCAAATCCTCCTTGTAACTGCTGCTTTGTGAAAAGTAGCCCATTCCCTTCCAGCACAGATAGTGCTGTGAGGTTTTTTTTGGTCATTGTAGTTGTTTAGGTTTTCTCCATTCTCTGCCCCATCCTACCAAAGCAGTGTCTTGGGCAACACCTGATATCTCAGTGTACCATGGCCAAATCCTTTCGAGCGCAGGTCCATGTAGGACTTGCACCCCAATTTCAGGGTAAATAGGATGTAGAAGGAGGGTTTGGCATCCAGAAGATTCCTGGCACAGGGGATTGGATGTGTGGGATCGGGACACGGGAATCATTTAGCTGCAGTAGGACGGGTATGTGGGTCTAAAGTCCCAACCCTGTGTGCAGCTGGGGTTAATGCATCCTGTGTTTGGGATCCAAGTGACCCCACCCCAAACCTGCTGAGAGGCAGAGGTTTTTTAAGAATTATCATTTTATTATTATTTTAATACTTAAAAATTATCATTTTATTATCATTATTTTAAACAAAATAAGACAGAACCTCTTGCACGTTCACTCAGGTGGCAGTTTGTGAAACTATTTGGTCACCAAAAATTGCATTAAAAAAGTAATGTTGGTACCTGAGCAATTAATGTAACTTAAGTGCAAAAATACTTCGTTAAATTTTTTTTTTTTTTTTCCTGCAAGAGCTGTTCTGGCTGTTGGAGCGGAACCAGCATTTGGGTGTCTTTCACCAGAAACAAAATTTTAGTGTGTTTGTTAAGATATACATGAAAATAAAATAGCATATGCTCCTAGAACTGGAAGGTGGACTTTGTTTCTCAAATATTCCTGTAGCCCATGCAGACTACAGGAAGCCCACAAGGAGGGTTCCTCCAAAACCTCCCTGCACCTCCTTTGCATGCCTGACCGCAACTTTTTGGTCCGTTTTCTCACCGTCCAGGTTCCCAAAGGCACTGACCAGAACTGGGCGCAGAAGCTGTACGACCGGCATGCCAGCAGCCAGCACTTCCAGAAGCCCCGCATGTCCAACACCTCCTTCATCGTCCTGCACTTTGCCGATAAGGTAACTGGGTGTGTGTTGCGTGTGCTGGGACTTGAACGCAGAAATGGGAAATGCATGGAGGGGGGAAAAAGAGCTTCATGAAGGAAAATTAGTTTATAGCGCCGTTGAGCTGCTTTTTGGTGATAGGCATGCCTGGTTGGCAGTAATCTTGGTTCGGTGCTCAAATCTAGATCAGCTTAAAGGACTTCAGCCTCCAAACTATTGCGCTAAGCTTTAAATAGTTGTGCTTTCTAGAGGAGAGAAAAATCCTCTTTCTTAAAGCTGCGGCAAAATGAATTTCTGTAAGGGCAGCTTGACTGAAAATGTATTGGAAAATGGAATTATTTTTGAAAAGCAGGAGCTGCGAGCATGAGCAAGGCGCAGTGGGGAGGAGCGTGTGAGAGGTGACCCTGTGCTGATCCCACCCTTATGAGGGAGAAAATGCCAACTGTGGGACTCTAAATCCCAGTGTCTGGTCCTATAGGGTCTTGTCCATGAGCTCCAGCTTCATTGAAACCTTGATGTGATAGATGTCACTCACAGCAAATAAGAATCTTAAAACCTTGCAGTTATCCAAAACACATGTTTGTTGGAAAGGAAAATGCAAGACCAGTGTCCAGGGAGCCAGATGACATGCAACTGCTGTGATCCTGTATAGGTGCTTCTCCAAACCAGGTTTGCCCTGGATGCAAGCAGCACTTCTCGTGGCAAAGGCTGATACTCGCCTTTCCTTAGGCATGTGATTTTGCACATGTACCCTTCACGAACGATAGGTCTTTGCAAGTTTTCCCTCCCTTTTTTTTTGTGGTCAGTTATTTCAGCCAACTTCAAATGTAAAAAAATAATATAAAATTTTCTTCTGTCCTCTCTAAATTCTTCTTTTGCATCCCAACCCTCTGCAATTTTAAAACCAAAAGACTTACAAGAGATGTAGCCAGGGCATCTTTTGAGGTTTACTGATTAGCTTGCAAGGAGGTCAGGAGTAAACAAAAGAGTCTGTAGAGGTACTGATGGTCTTTGCATTTTTACCCCTGGTTTCCATGGAAGTGCAGTTGGGTGTCCCATACAGAGCAGTTTAATGACTAAGAAACAATCTATGTTTGTGAGGGTTAATGCATCCTGTGAGGGTTTTGCTTTCATTCAGATTCACTTTCTTTGATAATAAGTGACCTTTAAATTCCAGTTGTTTCCACCCCTTCTCCCTCTCTGGTTTTTCAGGTGAGCTCCTGACAGTAGGGGAGCAGTGGGACACAGCACCTTGTCCTTGTGTGGTTGGACTTTACCCTCTGGGCTTCTTCCTTTGTTTCTTGCTAGGTGGAATACCAGAGCGAGGGATTTCTGGAGAAGAACAGGGACACCGTGTATGAGGAACAGATCAACATCCTGAAAGCCAGCAAGGTAAAAGCAATGAGTCGGAAGGTAATTAGCATAGCTGTTTTCCAAAGTGTGAGCTTCATGCTTGCGTTCCCATGCTGTGCCACAGCACATCGTGTAGGCAAAAGTGGTTGGAGGCACCTTGCATGAACAGCAGCAAAAAAGGCAAATAAATGGGATGTGGAGGAGGGAATAAGGGGGGAGAGGAGGGATGAGGCTGCTAGTCGCACCCAGGTGTGGATATGCGTGGTCCTCTGCTCTCCTTCACCCTGGTGTCAGTGTCCTGTTGAGGTGCATCAGAAAAATCCTTTCCCAACCTGCTGATCCTCTTCTTTTTTTGTTACCGAGAGCAAAAATCAGGAACAGTCAGTTATAGGGCACTGTAAATCCTGCTTAACTCTTGGAGCTCCCCACCCATCACCTGGCACCGAAGGAATTCTCAAAAGCATGTGGAGCCACAGGTGATCCTGGGATTAAAAGCCATGGTCAGCAGTATAGTTTGTATATTATGGGTAGCGTTGCTGACTCTACCACCATTCTGTATGAAAATGGCTGTTCCCCTTAGCTGTAGTCCATCATACTTGGCCCTGCAGCTTTTAATTACTTTAATAATTAGTATGCAAAAAATAGTGTTAATATACAATGCTAGAAATCTAATGTGAACTCTGCTGCTCTAGAACTATTTCACACTGCTGCCGATATGTAATATTAACAAATTAACACATATTGATGATCACACTTGCTGTTGCTCCTGGATTACAAGATTTTGTGCAATGTACCTTTCCTCTCCCAAGTATTGTACAAACAACTTGTCGACACCTCACTGCATCAAGTGCCAACAGACGTACTGACTGACCTCGAATGCCAACTCTCCTGGTAAAGAGCTTTTTGGCACCTGAGGTTTGAAGTCTCCGTTAGTCCTGAGGGCTTTGAACTCGGTGGGGTGTTGGAAGCAGAAAAGCAGTAGCTGTGGGATTCTGCAGGCTTCAGCGTGGGTCGTGCCTGCAGTAAACGAGTGCTTGGCAAGTGGGCTTCAAGTTGAAGACTTTACAGGTGCATGTATGAACCGAGCAGATTTTACACTGACTTCCAGTACTGCAGTCGTCTTCTCCATGAGCACTTGGGTGTTCCCTCTGCACTTGGGTGGGTTGGGTTAGAAGTGTCAGTAACACAGACATCTAAGGATTTTCAAATCCTTGTTGTTTAAAACCAGACCAAAAATTCACCCTGCAACCTTTCATTGTCAATTAATGAGTTGAGACTTTAAATTACCTTAAAACTGCCAGAGGCAGCTCTATTATTAAGAAGTTAGTATGAAAATCCAGCCCTGCAAAGTTCATCACACCACCCAGCAGCCAAAATCGAGACTGCATGACTCTGGGGCACCGTTGTTTCCACCAGACCTTGTGTGTGGTGTAGGGAAGGAACTTTTCTGCTTATCTCCAAAGCATTTCAAAGCTTCTCCCAGCATGGGTCAGCTTGTTAACTTGCATATATTTTTTTGCATAACAAATTTTGAATCCCCCCTGCATGTTGCAAGCAGATGCATCAAGTATCCAGATTTCTCCTTTTTGTGCTACCCTCCCTTGGGTTTATGTCTGGGTGTGACCTTCCAAATGCCACCCTAAATAGAGGGAGGAAGTATTATTTTTAGGAGCATTTTAAGCAGGAGTTTGTTCCTGGCAAAGTTAAGAGAGATGAGAATGGGAAATTAATTGAGCATTGTCAGTGTCTTGCCCTGCATCTCAGCAATGAATTCTTATGAAGATGGCAAGGTAGCAATTTTCTCATCCATGGGGGTAGTTGTGAGTCTAATAACTCTGAAGCTGGGCTTTAATAACTCCCAAATCAGGAGCTCTGTGTGTTCGGGAAGCTCACAGCTTTCCCAGGGTAAAAACTGGGCATGATTAGAGCTTATTAGAAACGCCAGGTAACTTGCAGGAATAATTGATGCTGTGTGATGAATTATTTAGCCAGTGCTGAAGTTGCTGTTGTAGGTAGTGCTGCAGAACTGGTCGTGTCTGATAGGGATTTCTGCTTGACTTCTCCCCGTAGGTGCAGAGGAGAGATGTAACTCATTGGAGTGGTGTTGTAGAGTGGTGGGGACGGTGCCACCTGCAACACATTCCTTAAAAAAAAGAATTTTTAAAAAAATGCTGAAACAGGTTTATTAACAGCATCTCCTCCTCTTCTCTCTCTCATATATAGGGACCATAACATGATATCAGAGCAGGCTGTGCTTCGGTTTAATAGCAAAAAAAACCCCGAGCCCTGCTCCTTGCAACTGATTTGCTTGACCTAAAAAGCCATTAATGTGTATGCCCCAGGACCAAAGATTTGGGTTTACCTGGCCTGCAAACTAAGCTAATGCTCCTTGGGATCAGGCATTAGGACCTTGTGAATTCATGGTGGTGGCTCTGTAGATGACACCAGCATCTGCATTTGTGAGCTAGCTTAAAATATTCTCAAATGCACTTGGCTCTGAGAATCTTTGGGTGATAGTTTGATGAACTTCTGCCTTTGAGCCATTTCTTTAATGACATGGGAGCGGTGGCTGTTGTCAGTCCGTGCCGATGCTGTGCTGTCCCGGGAGGAAGAGCAGCGTTTCCCTCAGTAGGAACTTCCTCACCCTCTTCATGCAAAGCCTCCAAGACCTGATTTTCTGTTCATGCTTTTGCTAACCATGTTGGCCAGCAGATTCAGTTATCCTGATTTTTTTTGCCTTTCACCTGCCATGTCCCCTCCAGGGGTATAAACAAATAAGAATTTTTTTCCTTTTGTTGTAAAAAGCAACCTGGTTTCTCTGAACCAAAAAGAAGAGCAGTGGCAGTGCCGAGCCTGCTGCTCAGATGTGTTAATTTGACTAAAACTTAAATTTGTGCTGCAAAAGGCTGTGCTGCGAGGACTTTATCCTGTACTCAGGATCAGGCCTGCATACAGTATTCACTGCGTTCTTCTTTATGTTCCCACTAAAGCAATATGCACAGCAAGGGGGAACACTCAGTTTAACTCGGCAAGGACTTAAACACCTCTCTGTCAGCAAGTGCATCACTAGTGAAGCGCTCCCACCAAGGCAGAATTGCATTCTGCTAATTAGAATGCCATTAATGCTGTCAACAAGATGGTGAAAGAGACTTTTTAAAGGAGCTAATTAGTTTTGTTAGTGCTGGTCAGCTAAAACAGTTGAGAGTTGATGTTCTTTGAATTAAGGAAACAGATTTGAATACTGATTGAAAGCATATGGGCATGCTGTTAAGATATTATATTCCAGTTCTCTATAATTATGAATTATGCACTAGTGGTTTTGACTCTACCAGTTGGGAAGGAGGGATCTGTCCTTCTTGTTTATCCCCCAGCATCCGTGGAATAGAGTCTGGGCTGCTAAAGATGATTCCAGTTACACCAGTCTTGCATTACACAAGCTGAAAGCTCGCCTCTGAGGTTCTTGTTGAGTGTTTGTGCAGGAGCGAGTGCTCCTGTTATTAATAGCAGGTGGACAGAGGGGTCGATAGTGTTCACAGCTATGCATTGAGAAGGTATTTTGAAATCTGAAATTACACCTGGGGGTTTTACCACATTGTTAAGCATGAGATAGTAAAGTGGAGCCTGTGTTGGATATCTTCCAGCATCAGGCACATGCCACCCAAACTTCCCGTGTTTGCAGGAATCAAAGCACCCAAGACAGTGACATGTCATCGAAGTACAACAGCTGTCAGGATGTCTTTTGTTGAGATGGAGGGTTAGGCAAAGAAGGTGTGAACCTTTATTCTAGTAGGAGTTGAGTGAGCTGCAGAGATAAAAATAAAAGCTGTGAGTATGAAGCAGATCCTTAGCAGGTGCTGTCCTGGAGCCTACAAGCAATTTGCTAATGTAATGCAAACAGTTTCCTTTCCACAGTGGTATTTAGGCTGCCGTGCTAGCAAGGTGTGCGAACAGTCTGCGGGACCAGGGCTGGAAATGTTCCTGTCTTAGTCCAGGGATGTGGCAGAGAGCCAGGCAGCCCTTTACAGCACCAGACTGTTACTGTCTATAAAGCAGTAAATCTCTGCATTTTTCTCGGGATCTTAATGGAAATACAACGAAGTTTGGCTTTTGGAGGAGCCTGGGATGGAGGCAAGAGTGCTGTGCGGTACACTACTGCCTCGTGTCGGTGTTTTTTTGCATGGACGTGTCAGGCACAGCGTGCCACAGAGAAGGGAAGCGTGATGCTGGTGCCCTCTCCTACGGATGCTCCGGAGCGGGCATTTCTGGTGGGCTGCACGCTGCTGGGACGGCATCACGGGTGCTTTGGCAGTGTCACCGGGCTGGAGCCCAACTCAGCTTGGTGATAAGTGAAATCCCACCCAGTGACAGTGATTTTTCTCACATTTAAGAATTTACTATTTGAATGTAAGTGCAGCTGTAACGGGAGCCAGTGTGGGTGCATAGCCAGATTCGAGATGTGAAAATTTAACAGCCCTGCTAAACAGACCAGATTTATTGTGATTTAGTATTCAAGTTCCCTAGCCTAATGCAAATTTGAAGATCCTTCCCCTTAAAAAAAAAAAAAAAAAAAGGCATTAACTGCATTTGCCAGCTCACCTGTTCTCCCGTTTATGAAGCGGAAATGTTGCTGCTGGCTTGCCAGAAACCCCAGACTTCAGGGATCCGAGGAGCTAAATGCAGTGCTTCCAGGGCTGCAGAATGGCAGTCCTGCTGTCACCTTGCTTGTTCATGCTGAAATACAGGTAATTAGTGAGGAAGTGCTGGTGTCTCTTAATTGTTTGGAAAAGCAAGGGTATCTCTGGGGCTGTGGTGGGAGCGGGCTGCTGCCTGTTCTCATGGGGAGACCCCGTTCCTGGGGCATGAGCTGTGCAGGCAGCATCCTTGCTGTGGTCAGGACTGGATGAGTACCTTGAAATGAAGCCTGGGAGCAAGAGTCAGTTCATGTTCAGGAGGTTTTGTGCCTTGGACAGTGCTTCAGTGATGCAGCCTTTCAGCTAGCCATCCTCTTTTTTTTTTTTTTTTTGCTTGTTTGTTTTAATGTGCACATTTCAAGGTTTGATGAACTACAAAACAGAATGGCCAATGGTCCTGCTGACGTGGTTTATGTAGGCAATGCTTCTTGCTTTTGCTTTATTGCCCTTTATCCCCTTCCTGGTTTCAGATGGGTAAAAAATGACCAGAGCAATGTGACTTGGGTGGGTTCATTCAGCAAAGAGCAGGGCCAGAGGTGCTCAGGCATTGTTTTTCGTTTTAGTATCAAATGGTGGCAGACTTATTCCAAGATGAGAAGGATGCTGCACCCACCACTTCCATGGCAAAAGGAACATCCAAAATCAGTGTCCGTTCTGCAAGACCAGTGATCAAAGCTGCCAATAAGGAGCACAAGAAAACTGTGGGGCACCAGGTAATGTATGATTTGAGTTGACGGCAGGGGAACAGAGCGAGTGAATCCAGACGCATTTTTATAGTTCAGATTTTGTTTCTTCCATTTGAAGCAGAGATAAATAAAAAGCTGTTGTGTGGATAAGTGAGGAGACCTTCCTGTGACCTGGGTTGAGGATGGGAACAGTTTGGCTGTTGCATTTTGGACACCTGCTAGCAGTGTCTCTGGAAGAGCAGGCTCGAGTAGTCTTGACTGGAAGCAGTTGAGACATGCTCTAAGCAGGGCGGAGGCCACTCTGGGATTCACTGGACTGTGTCCCAATGTACTATGGTGCTCAAAAATTGCACAACTTGAGAAAAAGCATTTTTTTCCCCTGGGTGGACAGTCAAGCAGTGCAACAGGGGCCTAGAGAGGTTGTGCTGTTTCCACCCTTGGAGATTTTCAAGACTCAACTGGGTAAAGCCCTGAGCAAACACTTGTTGCTGTTGTACATCATTGAACTGGAAGCCCTCAACCCGCCAGTGTCTTCTCTGAATTGCTCCTGCATGTGCCAGGCTGACGGGGAGGTTCATGCTATGTCACATCTGGAGGCTGGCACCGCAGGTGGTTTGCAGTGCCTGCCAACTTGGGTTGCGCCCTACAGCACCTTCATCCCTCTTCAAAATGAATGGTTTTGTCTTTCAGTTCCGCAACTCGCTGCATTTGCTCATGGAGACTCTGAACGCCACCACCCCGCACTACGTGCGCTGCATCAAGCCGAACGATGAGAAGCTCCCCTTTAAGTAAGTAGGCTTTCAGATGAGCAAGTGGGTTCAGCATTACAGCAACAGAGTGTGCTTTGGACTTGACTTCTTGCTAAAGAGATTGCCCCGCGTTGTAATGTTGCTCCCGTAACTGGAAGGTCCCCGTAGTTTGCTGGAGTCAGTTCTCTTGCGTTTCATTATGTGGTTTTTATGCCCCTGAAGGGAAGACTAATGCAGGTCCTAGTAATTCATAGATATAATCTACTAATACTGAGCATCCTTGCTTTGCAGTAGTAGGGTCTTTGTACAATTTCATCTCGGAATCACTTTGATTTAAATAGTTGCAGTACTAAACAGTGAAAAGTAGCAGAGAAAGAAGTGGAAAAGTGGAGACAAGTAGTTTGCTTGCAAAATGGCTTGTAAAATGAACAAAAATGTCTTGGTGCTTCCAAAATAAATGTGGAAAAAGTAAAGGCATGACTTGTATCAACATCAGGCAGTTTTCCAGGTGAGTGAACAGCTGAAGCAAAAAGCCAGTCTTAATCTTCCTCTGTAGTTCAGAGACGTATCTCAAGCTGTGAACATTGTGAGCAAATAGTTGTTAGCCTTGTTTAACCTCTTGATAATGTATTTGTACCCAATTTTGTTCCCTGTAACTCCAAAAAAGCCTGGCCATTAGTATGCAGGGCCCTCATAGATCTCGTTGTGATGTTGTCTAAAGGTGCTGGCATAAACTGCAGGTGGTGACATTTAAGAAAGCAGGTTATGACTGTAACCCATAAGCAGGGAGGCATTGCCCTCCAGCTGATGCAACGCACTCTGAGTGCTCCCAGGTGAGCATGGTGCCACCTCAGAGTTCAGAGATGGCTCCAACAGCATCCTGCAAAGGAGGGTGAAGCATCCGTAAAAAGGCTCATCCTTGGTCATGGTATGCTGGTGGATGTGTATCCACCAGGAAGCTTCCCTGGCTTGACTCTTCTCCCCTTGCAAACAGCAAAGTGAAGGATATTAATGGTTAGAAGACATTCAGGAACTGGCTTATGTTTAACTGATTCATTAGATGATTAGTTAGCAGCTCTGGAGAAGGCTATGTTGGCTGTCTGTGCTGGGACGGCAGTTTCTGTGGTCTGTTGTATCTATTTCATGTGCTGTTTTGTAGGTACAGCTTAGGGCCTCAATCTCTTGTTGCCTGTTGCGGAGGTTGTTCATTTAAATGAAATTCAGGATTACACTTTTTGTTTGATTGCTTTCTTTAGATAAAGCACAGAAGTATTTTTCTAGCTTTCTGTAGTGAAAGTGTGGTAGATGCTCTGTATGGTGAAATAGCTTCACCTTTCCAAAGGGTGTTTCCAAGACTCCGTGGACCTCCTCACCTCTACTTTCAGCCCATCCATCTTCACTTCTTTGCCTTTAACTTTACAATTCAGTTTTTCATGTGATGCTCAGGATACAGTTAATATCATTTTATAAATGTGCAAGCTCCTGGCTGTCAAGGTGCAGTAATTATCTAAATGAACTCCATTGTACTTCTAAGATGTTATGGGTAGCAAATACCAGGAGGATAATTCTGCTTGTGTCTGCTCGCAGTCTGACTGGTGACTCGGTCCGATGTGATGCTCCCCATCTGGCCAATGTCAGAGCTGTCAAAGCTCAGGATTTTGGGAACAAAGGGCAAACCAAAATAGACACAAGAACAGTTCTGGAGGAGCAGTGTGCAGGTGTCTGTCTGCAGCCAGCAGCTTTGCAGGAGTCACCATGGGCTGGAAATGATAAGAGGGTGCTTTGGTGTGGGGTGGTGGTGTTGCATCCCCATCTACAAGCCAGAAAGCACTGGTTCAAGTGTCTTGTACTGGGGGTTCTTCTGCAAGAGATTATCTCCCTCCTCACCCATCGTGGATTGCTTAATTGAAATTGTAATCTGCGAATCTTGGTCAATGTTGATCTAGCTGCCACCAGCTTGAGTAATTTGTATCCTTAGTGTGGCTCAAATAAAGTCTATTTGCTTGTATGCAAAACTTGGGTCTGGAGAATACTGGGATGTCTGTAAAGGAGTCTGCATTTCAGAGGCACTTGTGCTGAAAAACACATAGTGCCAGGAGGCATTAGTGAAAAGAAACATCAGTGGCACCGCTCTGACTTAATGTTGAAGTGGTGTCTTGTAGCATGCAGAACACTTGGTGTTATGTTTGTTGTTCAGTGAAAAAACACAGACCTTTTTCTCTTCCTAAACCACAACATTTTTCAGCTCACAAGAATGTTACCTTTTTGCTAAAATGAGATGTTTAGCCTGGAGAGAAGGGACCTAACAGCAGCCTTCTTGTACTTACAAGAGCTACCAAGAGGACAAAGCCATGCTTTTCACAGCGGTGTGTGGTGGGAAGACAGGAGTCAATGGCCATAAATTGATGTGAAAGATTCAGACTGGAGATAAGGAAACACTTTTTTTTCTTTTTTTTTTTTCTCTTCATGAGGACAGTCTGTCAGTGGATCAGGCTGCCCAGAGAGGTTGTGCAACCTCCATCTTTGGATGTTTTCAGCCCTTGACTGGATAAAGCCCTGAGCTATGGGTCTGCCCTCATACCTGCCCCAGCTTTTGAACATAGGAGATTGGACTAGAGACTTTACATCTTTGAGGTGAGAGGTGTCAGACTTCCAGCCTGGAGGAAATGTTGGCACCATACAGTGATATTTGCTGCAGCTGACTGCAGGCTGTGTCTGAGGTTGAACCCTCATGGAGAAGACCTCAAAGAGAGAGGTGTGAGGGCAATGCCTGATTTCAGCTTGCACCTTTTGACAATTTTCCTTCCAAATTCTGTTTCAGGCAGAGTTTGTGATCTCTTACTTGGGTTTCCAGGCCAAAAGCAACCTGTGAGGCGCCTCTACCTGCCATGGCAAGGAAAAGGAGTTCATAATAATGTGTGTTGTCCCACTTTTAAGCTCTTTATTTCAGCCTCAGTCTGTAGCTGGAGTTGTTGCTAGAAAGGGTCCTGGCTTTCCATGCTGATAAATGACTGCAGCCGCTCTGGTTACTGCTGTTCACCCCCACTGAGCAGGGCTTGGCCGTGTTGCAGAAGGTTCCCCTCGTGTACGACGTAGATTGCCCTGGGATCTTCCAGGACTGAAGGTTTCCCCGTCCATCTACCAGTTCTGTTTATTATTTATTGTTATGGAAATTGTACCCTTGTGGATTCTTCCTTGAAGTGAGTGACAGCCAAGACTGATTTTTCCACCCTGCATCGTGTTTGCGGTGTTGTAGCGAATAACTTGCTGTGGACTTGACAGGTCCAGGGAATTTAAAAATGCACAAAGTAGCAGGGGACTATTTCTTATGCTGCTTTTGCACAGCAGAGGCCGGGCAGAATTATTCATGCAATCTTGACCTGCAGGTATAAATACTTTGGGCTTCCAGGAAGGGACAAGCAAGTACCTGAGAAACTTTAGTTCCTCGCCCTTGTTCTGGAAACCTAAGACAACTATGGACATCTACATCTTATGAGTCCAAGCTTGATCCAGTGACCTCTTCCAGGGTCCAACATCTTGAACTCGAGAGCTGGGACCTCTTTGTGCATTTGGTGTCGAGGTGGAAGGAGGGAGGGAAAAATGATGGGGGACGCTGGTACCTGCATTTTGCACAAAGATAGACTGATCTGAAAGCCAGTTCATGCCAGGAACCAGAGAGAGCATGGCCCAAGTATTCAGCTGCAAGTGGGCACAGTTTTTTGGCACAAATTGCTGATGGAAATGAGCTGCTGGTGGTAAAGGGTAATGCCAGCTAAGAAGAGGAGGGCAGACAGCTGAGAGCAGAAGTACCTTGAATTTCAACCTGATGCCTACCAAAGGCATTTAGTCTGGATCATGAGCACCACTGTTCTTGGTAAACTTAACAGTCTGCAAACGTGTGGGACCTGTTAATTACTCGGTTTTGGTACGGACTTGAATATATCAGATGTATTTTGCTGTTGAATTCAACTTCTTTCTGGAATTACGTTGTTGCCCTTATAGCTGCAAAAGTAGTACTGTCTGGTTCATCAGGCAGCTTGTGGTGGGGTAGCCTGTTCCCTTCTTTATCATAATTGTGTTGCTTTACATAGCTGGATAGATTATGGCTCTGGAGAGTAATTGCAGCAGATTGTCATCTTGTCCCAAGAGTACCACTTGGCATTGATAGTAGGGCAATAGCAAGGTCCATTGCACTTGAAAAGCACAACGTCTTGTGACACAGAGAGAAAACGTGTGACATTTTGTGCAAGCTGTTCCCAAAGCAAGGCATGGGATTTGTGGTTATACTGAAGTTTGTGAGGGAATGGGTATGGACAAAAGCTATCCATGGATGTATGGGTTTCTTCAGCCCTTGTACTAATGATGCGAGCAGAGCTTTTTTCCACAAATCAGAAGCTAATTCCCGTTCCCAAAAGAGTCGGTATCAAGTTGTTTCAGGCAACAGTACGTTTTTCTTGCAGCATAGTGTACTGATGTGGGTATAAAGGACTGAATTCCCTAACCTGCACTGTGTGTATCAGCAGGGTCAAAATTAGAGATATTGCAGAGGATGCCAACATAAATGTTCTCATGGATGCTTTTAGATTGATGTGGGTTCCTCCTCACTGTGTTAATCTCGATCTTAAATATAATTGCAGATTTGATCCAAAGAGAGCGGTACAGCAGCTGAGAGCTTGTGGAGTGCTGGAGACCATCCGCATCAGCGCAGCTGGCTTCCCGTCCAGGTACCGTGCTGGGAATTAGGTGTGGTGTTGTGCTGCTGGTGTGCTTTACTCAGCAAGTTCATCATCTGGGGCAAGGGAGGGAGGAGAAAACACTAGTGTTTTCAGGACAAACAGGGTTTATTTAAGCTGGTTTACATCCAGGATAGATTTTCCCCTTTTTATATTTTTTTCATTTTGCAAAACTCCCATTAGGTCCTGGGTTCCTCAAATTGAAGAGATTCGTTATCAAGTGATGAGCTGCAAAGTGAGGCTGCCAGAGGGTGTGTTGTGTCATGTTTCAGCTGGTCCTTTTGGTTTGGTCCTGAGAAGTAATTTGATGTGATGAAATCTCTGAATGTGCTGGTGCATGATAGATAAAGGAATCCAGCTTTGATCCCACACGAAGGTGGACAGCCAGTAACAAGATAATGTCTCTGTATCCTCTGCATCCAGCTTGCCTGGGAGCAAGTGTTGCCCTAGAGGACTTCTTCCCTGAAACTCCCCATACAAAAGCTCCTTGCACTGTACGGTTTGCCTTCCTTTTTTTCTTTTTTTTTTTTCTTCTGACTTCAGACTCCTGCTGCAATAGTCATTTTGGCCAAAAATTTTTTGGTTATACTTGCAGAGAAAGAAAATAAGAGTTGTAAAATATTATTGCAGACTTTCACACTGCACATCCAAAGCATACTAGGCTTCAAACGCTTACATCTTAAAAAGGAAAGGCTATGGGTGGTGTGGCTCTTGCTAATTGTGATACAAAATTCAAAAGAGGTTTTTAGGGCCTAATAAATCAGAAAACATAAACTATAAATAAGCCCTGAAGATGGCAAGGGCAAATAATTCTAAAAATGCATCAATTGCGTTCTAGTGCCAAGCAGCTTTGTGTTAATGTCAGCATAGCCATCAGCCTTTTTATATGGAACAAAGGAGTTATAAATACACGCAGTAGAGTCGGCTAAGCGTGATGCTGAACACCATGAGAAACTCCCTGTCCCGGTTTTTGGGGAGGAGTGTGCTGCCTTAGTAGTTACTCTCATCTTCTGCAAAGCTGCAAACAGCCTCTGACGATAGCAGCTTCTGCGCGTTGATGTGAGGTGGTTCTGCTCCACTTAACGTCTGTTGGCCAGTGACCTCCATGGACAGGCAAAAACTGGTGATGGGATCTCCCTGGCCAGCTGAGCTCAACTACTTAAGAAGGAAAAAAAGAAAAAGAAGAAAAGTTTCATGGAAACCAATTTCTCTCTCTCCTCTGCCAGCGTGAGAGGGTGGCAGAGGTGCGTGGAGATTTGGGTCCTCATGTTGAGGGTCTGGCCCTGTTAGAAGA